CGTGGAGGTGCCAGGGGCTGCTGGGCATGGCAGAGGGGCTGCAGCAGGAGGCTTGTGCATGGGAGCGGGGATGTGAGGGGCTGCTCCGTGTGGGGAGGGCAGTCCCTGGAGGCGGATGCATGTAGGGGGGCGATGCGTGGATGTGGGGGGCATGCTGTGCCACAGGAGTGCGCAGGCAGCCCTTGCCAGCGTGGGGAAAGGTGGCCTGGGGAGCTCTGTGCTGTGCCGGACGGCAGGCAGCCTGGAAGATGTCTGCTGAATGCATGGCAGGGAGATGCCCTGCAGGATGCTGGATAACTGGAGGGTAAAAGGGGATATGAAGGGAGGCTTGGTGGAGGGGATGGTTGCGCATGTATGTGATAAGTACTGGGAGCATGGGAGAGTATGAAGATGCTTTGTGCTGTAAAAAAGTGACTTCCCCAGTCAATTTCATGGAAGAGAAAACATGAAGGAGAAACTTGTGCATCTAGAAAAACTGGGAACAAAATGTCCTTGTGTTGAGAGGGAGCCTGGGAGGAGAGGAAACGTGGTCTGTGCACTTTAGTTGATATAACAAGTCAAACTTCAGATACAAGCTGGTAGCAGAGGACTCTGCCAGGATTATCAATGTACAGTGTGTAGAACAAAGTTTCGGTTAATCATTCTCCAATTCAGCGCTCTTGCTTGCTGCTAGTTTTTCCTTCCTCTGTAAGGATTCAGGGTTGGCCATATTCAGTTCAGTAACACATGCATTTCTTTTCTGCAGACGTGGCAAAATGCAGAGAGAGTCGGACTTCATGGCCAGTGTAGACAGCAGCTGGATCTCTTGGGGTGTGGGAGTCTTCATTCTGAAACCCCTGAAGTGGACTCTGTCAAGTGTGCTGGGTGACAGTAAAGTACCTGAGGAGGAAGAAGTTCTGATTTTTGTGGAGCTACTTCAGGTAAGCGTTGTCTGGAGCTTTCTTATGCATCTCAAAAAAAAAAAAAAAGGAAAAGAAAGTAATGAGTGATTTTTATGCGCTAGCAGGGAAATGTCAGGGTTGAATAGAAGGCTGCTTTTGTACTTCTTAAGTGTTTTTTTAAACATTTAGAGAGATGGGTGGAGTAATAACTCATGAATAAGAAATAGTTCGTATTTACAGATGTTTCTTGAAATTAATGTAATGATTTTTCACTGACTTTGAAGAAATAGATGACCGGCTTGCCTCGTTCTCTAGGAAGCCTAATAGTGTACTGTGAGACCACTGTAAATCCCAGGTTTAAGTTAGTGGAAGTATAGTATACGAGAGAAACTTGCAGATTGAGTGCCATCTGTTGTGGGGAGAAATGGGTGACTTAGATGTCACTGGCTGTCACTCCAATGTATCATGTCTCTGCTGAACTCGCATGTGCTTCATTAAAGGCTGCTTTTGCTTCAGAGTTCGTGCTTTCAGCTTGCCTTTTCAGACATGATGTGAACTGCTGTTACGTCCTGTCAAAGACCCTTTTCTGTGGCACGTTGTTAGTGGTAGACCTGTGGGTTGCATTGTGAATTCATACAGCTCATTGTTGCTCAGTCTAACTTGGATGGTGCTGTGCTGACACAGTTGAGACCTTGGGTCATTTTCTCAGTGTTGCTAAGCTTTTTCTTTTCTTTTTCCTTTTTTTTTTTTTAAAGGAAGGGGGGGATAAAAAAGTTGTTACTCTGTTTAAAAACAGCACCAGGACTTGCTGCTGTTGCATGCAAGTGGCCTCTAAATGACTGGGACTGGCAGACATGAAAGAACTCTTTAGATGTTATAGTTACTCTGATAGCACACAGCGTATTTCCTCTGCAGTAGGCATTCTGTGGTCCTTTCAGGAGGTGTATGTTTGGGAAGGGAGAGAAACCTTTTATAAAGGTGCCTGGAAAACCACAAGCTTTGATGTGGAATTTGAGGGTGGATGGAAGCAGAAAGAGTTGTTTCTTTAGTCTTGAGTGGACTGTAACTCCAGTTACGTGCTTCTCGCTTGAAATGGGGAAATCTTTCTTTTTTCTCTGCCCAAATATAAATGATGCAAAATGATTCTTGAGTGCAACTAGAGCGTGGATTAAAGACAAGCTGAAACCGAGGGGAAAACTTCAAGAAACGTAGCAGTGACCGACTTGCTGACTGCGTGGTGCTAATGTTTTCCATGGCATTTGCACAGGGAACAAACACGGATGGTGTAATTCTGGCTCCAGTGGAAAACTGTGATATTTTTGCATTCCTTTAATGGTGGTATTTTTAGAGCATTATGAATCCTTATGCACCTTCTGAATTTCACATACAGCTCATTTTGAAAATCCTTGTCTCACCCAAATGTGATGCCTCCAACTTTTCACCTTTAGGTGTGTGGGAGGGAGCAGGTGTGGCCTTGGCAGTCCTTGTGGGAAAAGGAATAGTCCCGTATAAACTAACGGATAGTTTTGTTGCTTCCTTTCAGGAAAAGGCCGAGGAAGTTTATCGCTTATATCAGAACTCCGCGCTCTCTTCTCACCCTGTTGTTGCCCTCTCAGAGCTGCGTTCCCTCTGTGCCAACGTTTGTCCAGATGAAAGGACGTTCTACTTGTTGCTGCTGCAGTTGCAGAAGGAAAAGAGGGTCACAATCCTGGAACAGAATGGAGAGAAGGTACAGGGTAAAGGTGACTGCTTTTGGGTGGTATAATCCCTGTCTTGCATTTCATATGGCTGAAAGAGCACTCACTTTTAGCTAAATGTTGATGTTGGAGTACACAGAACTAACTTTTCCAAACATTGAAGCTCACTATAGGCAAAACTAAATGTTTTTTGCATGATAGGTTCCTATTTTCCCCCTTCAAACGTTTGTAACGTTACGCATGTAATTTGACAGCTAGCAAACTGGCAGTAAAGCAACTAGCTTTACGCTTACAGGCTGACAATTCCCAGGAACGCTGCACAACATTTCAGGATACTGGTCTTGCAGAGAACCTGAGAGCCGCTTGAAAACTTGCAGAAGATTAGAATCTCTGAGCTATCCAAGTTGCAATTGTTCCACAAATTAGAATCAGTGCTCCACTTCCTGTGAAAAGGTTTTCCTGTTTGACAGGAACTACAGAGAATGCAGGCTCTGTGATCTCAGATGCGGCATGTTTGTCCACACTGTTCTGCGTTGTACAGAACTGAAGTTCTTGGAAGTGTGACACTGCCAAATACCGTTCAAAGCATAGCATAACCGTACAGTAGGTGTCTAAATTGGTAGTATCTGTAAAACTGTCCTAGCGCTTTCACGTCTTCAGGGTGTTCTACTGAAGCCCTCTGGTTTCACGTTGAGGTATCTTCATCCTGTCTAGCTTAGTATTGGATTATATGACAATTGGCCTTGAATAAAGTTGTAGGTGTGCAAAGCATCTCCTCTTTCCATTAGAGAGGAATTCTAGTGCAAGCACAAATTCTGGAGACAAGTGACTCAAGAATGTGGTTCTCTTTCTTTAGATAGTGAAGTTTGCCCGAGGTCTTCATGCCAAAGTCTCTCCAATGAATGATGTGGACATTGGAGTATATCAGTTGATGCAAAGTGAACGGCTGCTGTCACAGAAGGTGGAGTCCCTTTCCCAGGAAGCAGAGAAGTAATTTGGGGACGGGTGGTGGGAAGAACTTCCCTATGATGTAGAGCTTTGTATTCCTGTGACATAGTTAAGAATGAAGCTGTCCTCTTTAAGTGCCAATCATTCTTCCTTGTTTGGTAAATGCACTGGTTACAGTACATGGGGTAGGACAGGTTTTCCCGTCCATGTTCGGTATCCACGTGAAAGCAACGGGCAGTGAGTGGATGTCGAAGTTGCACCAAGATTTGGAACGCATTCAAGGGCTATCTGTGGAAATGCTCCAATGCCTTAATGGTGGCTGTATTTGAAATATACTGGTACTCAGCCACCTGTAGCTTAGAGCAAGGTAGTGATGCTGGTAGCGGATTTGTAAATAGCTACTAGTTGCAAAGGAATAAGCTCCTTTTCCTTTTTGCCTCTGTACAGGTGTAAAGAGGATGCCCGGAATGCTTGTAGAGCTGGGAAAAAGCAATTGGTAAGTACTGTTCTGCTTGGGAAGAACTACAAGTTAAACATCTTGGAACTGTTTTATCGCTACAGATAGTGCCTAGCATTTGGTATTGTATGCTTGATCTTAGATGTGTACAAGTGTGTTTCTGAGGCCAAAGAGCTCCTTCAGGTGGCAGTAGGCATGTATTTGCCCAAAGTGGTATGGTGAAAAGAAGTAGAATTACCTAGCTCTTAAAGCCAGGTGTCGTATGTGCCTTGCTGTACAGGGATTGCAATTCTGAGAAGATGTACTTCCTTTGGCTGCTGCTGGTTTGTGATCCAAGCCTGTGTATCTAATGTCTCCAGGCGCTGAGATGTTTGAAGTCCAAACGAAGGACAGAAAGGCGCATCGAAGAGCTGCATTCCAAGCTGGATGCAGTGCAAGGGATCTTGGATCGTATATATGCCTCCCAGACCGATCAGATGGTAGTGTGTTCATTTTGTTTTGCACTTCTCACTTCAGCTCTGCTCTTTTCATTTGTGCTGCTTACCTTCTTGTGGGAGCTCCTATCTGAGGGGTGCAAGTAAGCTGGTGAGACTTCTTTCTCTGCCCTAGGAGAAGGCAAGTCTGATCTTGGGGTATTGCTGTGAGGAAACCCACTTGGGGTTCCGTTTTCTCCTTCTGTGCTAATACTGCTCTGGAGGCTCTGCTTAGATAATGGGTCTTGAAAGGAGCTTGCACTGCCTGTTGTTTGCTCTTGCTCATTCAGCATTATACGTCTTTCCCTTTGTTAAGGTATTTAATGCCTATCAAGCCGGTGTGGGAGCTCTGAAACTGTCTATGAAAGATATAACTGTGGAGAAGGCTGAGAACCTGGTGGATCAGATACAAGAGGTACTGAAATAAGAGCACGTCTGCATAAATGAGCGAGTAGTGGGTGGATGTGCATAGAAAACTTGCCCAGATATTAATGCTGAGGCTTCTGACACTGTTTTGTTTCTGTTCTGCATGTCATCAGAGCAAACTGACTTAATCTCGATCTTTTTAAACAAAAAAGCAGAAGTCTTCAAATAACCGACTCTGTTTGGTTTTACGTATTTTCATTTATTGCTGGCTAGTACGCTACACTTATGTACTTCATGTGTTCTTCCGGTTAGCCATATTTGTGCAAGCACGCAGCTCTCATTAGCAAATGTTTAGCACAATGTATTAAAAAGAAATAAGTGATGCTTTTGGAAACTGGAATGCAACTACATGCATAAAAATGGGATCTTAAAATGGCCTAGCCTATAATCTCATAGCACTTGTTAAATCATCTTCCATGTTGTTTCTTTCACTACTAAAACACCAATCATGTTGTACCTCTTTTGTGCCAGTACCTGTTGCCTTTAAGTCGACTTTTAATTTGTTGGTGGTTTTTTTTTCATTTTCTTTTTTATCTCTACTCTTGCCATAACTGACTACACCAAGACATAAGATCAGTTTGTATTCTCTATCAAATTCTGTGTATTTCTCCTCAGCTCTGTGACACTCAAGATGAAGTAGCTCAGACTCTGGCTGGAGTGGGGATCAATGGTCTAGGTATGTTTTGGGGTTTTCATGCCTTGCTCATCTTCTCTTTTCTCCCCCCGGCCACTGCTGGCCCAGAATGCTACTGCTGTTCACCCTTCCCCTCTGTCCCCGCTTATGACTAGCTCTCCTTCCTGGGAGGGTAGGCAGCTGCTGAAATACCAAGGATGTACCTACTGGTACCTTTAGAGGGAATGAGAATTGACAAGGAGCTCTCTTCCCTGACAGTGGGTTGCAGGGGATTTGGCATTTATGCATCCCCAAATCTCTGCAGGTCTCAGACTGGTGGTGGATTTCAATTCAGAGTTGTATAATGTTGATTTTTAAACTTATTTTTAGAGTCACTGCTGCTTGTGGTGGTCTTTTTCCTCTGGCCTGTGTGTTGCTGCAGCTTGTTTGTCTTTGTTGAAATGTTTTCCTGCCCTTAGACGCTGCAGCCCAAAGGCTTCTCCCGAGATCAGGACTGGGTTTTTGTTTATGGAGGAAACATGGGGAGTTGCTTCTTATTATGAGTAGTGGGAGGGATGTGTAGTAATGCCTCTGTTAAACTTGGACATTAATTTATGTGAGAAGCCGCCTGTCTGGGGAACAAGAAGCCTGTCCAAGGTGAAAGCAGGATCCGGTCCTCTCCTCATCGGGAGTTGCAGAAGATCCTCCTTGCAGCTAGAAGGAGATATTCAGATACTGACTGTTACTTGCAGTATGGCTACTCACATCTAGTTCTTTGCCTACTGCCTTTGTTGTATGCTGTGAAGATGCTACTTATTTCTGCTTGCAACTGAAAGTTTACTTTAATTGGCAGAGACGGACACTGAGGAACTTGAGAAGGAGCTGGATAGTCTCCTCCAGGACTCGACTAAGGAGCCTGTAGATCTGCCTCCTGTTTCCCAGAAGCCACTGAACCCTGCCATTTCTGATGCTGAGCTTGAAGCTGAATTGGAAAAACTGTCCCTTTCCGATGGAGGTATGGATGTCAGCAGGCTGTGTTAGCTAGCTACTGTTAGGATCCCATGATGACCTTACAAAATGGAAGATCTCTAGTAGAGATGAAGTCGGAGCCAAAATCTTTCCCATTTCTAGTTACGCAGTTGGAAGCAAGCTCTTGTGGTATCCCTGCCAGGTACTCGGTGGCATTGACTCTTCGGTCAGCAGTTTCGGTCTTGAGAGGGCTGTGCTCTGTGTTAGAAATATGACGAAGGCTCTACCAAAGAGCTAGTGCTTTGACTAGATGTTTTTTGTTTAACAAAATGCATACAAAGCCAGGTGGAGTTTGCAGTATCTTATGCTACAGTGATAAAATAGGCCAGTGTTTTCATGCCTCTTGGTATTAAGTGTACAGCATCTTTTGTCTCTCTCCTTCTGGAATGCTTATTATGTCTCATGCCTTATACATATGATGTCTGCCTAAGCTAGTGCTAAACTAGGTTTTATTTAGAAACAGTGAATGACCAGAGTTTATGGACTTAAACTGTATGCTGAGTTCAGCAGTTCTGTCTTGGACTGGGGTAAATAGAGACTTTTCCTTTGAGGAGTCTATTAATGACTATTCAAGACTCTGTCCACATAGTTTTCTTCTTTGGGCAGCTGGATATTCTCAAATTTCAGAGCAGAAGAAAGGTTGGCATTCCATATCAAACATGAAGTCTGGGTTTTCAAGAGAATGCAATCAAACACTGAAGTATTGAGGAGCTCTGAAATTGTGTTTGTCAGTCATGGACACGATTGATCTCGTCCCTCTTCCTAGTGAGAACTGATGTCTTTCTGTTGCTGTTTTCTTTATAGATTTGGCGCAAAAGACTCCCTCTGCTTCCTCTGAACCCAAAACAGCTCTGGCACTGAATCTCTAAAGACCCAACAGTTATCCTGTTGCTGCAGCTTGAGAAATTGTCTTAAGGTTCCTTAACTAATGACTGAACTTTGGGAGAGAAGGGTAGTGCTCCCCTCTTCTTTGTGGATATCGCTTTACTAAGCAACAGGATCTTCTGCCATGACAATCCACTCTCTGGAACTGGCCCCAGCTGATGTTTGTCATCTCTGTGCTGAGATCTGCACTGGTTTTGATTTGACTTGTTATCCCAAGTCACCTGCAACATTCGATCTTCATTCTGGGAACACAATTCTCACTACTCTGCCCAGTGAAGATGAACTCTTCTGTGTCCATAACAGTGCTTGATTTTTCTTTTTCTCTTTTCCTTTTTTTTTTTTTTTTTTTTTGCTGTGGCTGATGTTGAGAATTTGAGTTGCAGCAGTATTGCAGTTGCTCAACACCTGGCTGTTTGTGTGGTTGTTTAAAACATTTGGCACATAAATACTGTCCTTGACATAAGTTATCTGCAACAAGCTTAAACACATGTTGATAGTTCTGTCCCTCCCTGTCTGTATTTTGCACGGTCGTGGACAGCTAGACACTGTAACTGTTAAATTGTAGGAGATGTTGTTGCTGCGCTAGGGGGCAGCAATTGCAAGCACAAGACAAAATGAATTCTTCTTTCTGTAATGACACTTAAGGCCTTAAAAGGGAGACCTGCAAAAGATTTTTTTTTTTTTAAATGAAGGAGTTCCTTATGCTGACTCTGGTGACAAAGGCTTGCAGTCAATATAAAACAATTTTCTGCTTGCTCTTACCTGAAATTTGAGCTGTTTGCTATTTTTGTATCCTTCCTGTTTGCAGAACTTTTGGAGAGCTGCAGGATGATCTGCCTTGAGATCTCATGTTGTGTTTCAGGGTGGGGGAAGAAGCGATGCATCGTTTTGGTTGGTGGATGGTTTCATATAGCAGTCTTGACCTTGCCTTCAAACTTGATGTTGCAAGATTATGGGTTACCAAAAGCAACCCAAAACAAAAGCCTATGCATGTTTCTAATGGGGGGTGGGAAAAACTAGCACAGGAACTTAAGAGGGTTTTTTAGGTGCTGCCTTTACCAATCAGAAGTTGAAATCATCATCTTTTGCAGGTCACTTTTTTTATTTGCAAGTGTAAGAGCACAAAGTCTGGTACCTACTCTGAATAAAGCAATTCCCTTGGGAGAGGAATGTGCTATCAACCGGGCTTTCTGCCCACAGAGATTGTGGAGGGCAGGAGGTGACTAGTTACATGTTTATCTGTAGTCAGTCCTCCTGTCTCTGCACCTCTCCCTGACTCGGAAAGTATTCCCGTCAGCGTTCGTTTCTGTGCTGCCTCCCATACCATGCCTCACTTCTCGAGCCAGGTGGATGGCTGCTTGGGTGAGTAGTAAGCTAGGGCTGGAGTTCCCAAGCCCCGTTTATACATGACGACCCAACGTTAGCCCTGGAGGACAGAGGACGTTTTTAGTGGTGTCGCTAGGGTGCTGCATCAGCTCTGGCTGCTTTGTCCCTTCTGCTCAGGAGTGCAGACTCCCACCCAAGAAGGCATGCTCTAGCCAGCTAGTGGTGTACCCAAGCTGCCCAGAGAATTGTGTGAAATGACTTGGAGCTCTGAGTTCCCTTCCTTGTAAGCAAATGGGAGAAAAACACTGTTTTCTGCCTACATGTAATAAAGGGGAGGGGAGGACCCAGAGTCCCTTGTGATGCCGCCTTTTCTTTCCCTGTGTCACTGATCACTGATACTAATGCTATTCCCGCTGTGCTTCTGCATCTATAAAAGTTGTCTGCTGAAAGTAATTAGGCAGATTTCTGGGCTTCTTTGTCAAAAATCCAACAAACTGATATATCAGACTTAGATTTCCCTGAGCTTCCTTTCTGTGTTTAAAAAAAAAAAAAATAGTTATTGCATCTAATTTGAAAAGATGTCTGTTCCACCAAGTAGCCCATGCTGCCTTCTGGTTTGCATGGCCTCAGTTTTATGAGTATCAACTTGGAAAGGTTTGCTTCTTTCCTTCTGCTTCAGCTTTTCTTATTTTGCCTTTTTGGTTCTTTTTCTGACTTTCATCATTGTTACTCTTACATGTCTCAAACTAATCCAGTTCAGGGGCTCGGGCAGAATACAGTCCTTCTACTTAAGGGACCTTGTGGGCATTTAGGAAACTGCCATGCTAGGAAGTCAGTTCTCCTAACTGCCCCCTTGTTTTTTTTTTCACTAAGCAGTATATAAGCCTTTATTCTGGGACAGTTTTTGTCCGACTCCTTGTAGTGATTGTAATTAAGCAGGTGTAGCTGGGAAGCTCGATATCATTCTTGCCTTTTGTCTAAAGACAACGAGTCTAAATGTGGAGTCACCCTGGTACACAAGCACTACTCAAGAATGAAATTACTCTTACTCCTACATCCTATTAAGATGCCAAAAGTAGGCTCTGAATTCACAGGCCAGCCTGTTTCCTCTGGCAAGAGGTCTGATCTGAGCTGGAGTACTGATCCCTGGAGAGCTGCTTTTATTTATTTATTTTTCTTCTCCCCTTTTCTTGTTCAAGGGGGGAGGAGGAAGTTTCTTGCTCCTGTGTTTGTGGTGTGCTGTATGCAGTGCAACTCTGAAGGCCTGGTCGTTTTTGCTTAGGTCTTGCCTAGAATCGGCATCTCTGGATCTTTTCTGAAGGACCCGAGAACTCCTTGCGTCTCCCCCGCTATCGGAGCTTGTACCTTTGTGGGAAGTAAGATGCGAAGTGGTTCCTGTAGGAGTAAACAGTCGATGGCAACTCTGTGTAACGGAGCTGATGGGGACAGCCAGCCTTCCAAAGGGCTGGAAGAGGCATTTAAGAGTTAAACCCCAGCAGTTGCTGCTTTACTTGAAGTAGGTTGTAATTTTCCTCCTCTGATGCCAAGTGGGGAATGTAATCAAGATGGCTGAATAGCGAATGTTAAATACATCTCAGTGAGCCAGAGGAGAAGGGAAATAGAGGGCACCTTCTTGCTGGCTGAGGAAATTAAATACAAAAACATAAAGCTGAATTGCCCCCAAACTGGAATTTGATCATATTTGTGCTGTATAAAGTAGTACTTGATTCCTTGACAAACTGATAGCGGCGTATGTAAGGAAATAATAGCAACTGTTTACTAATATAACACTGCAGAACAGTTTTCCCAGTAGGGAAGACTGCATCTAGCAGGCAGGAGGAATCACACTGTGAAAAAGGGCCACTGCCTATATTTTGTTTGCCTATGACACCAAGGGTTGACAGTTCTTTCTTCAAAGGAAGCCAAATCATCTGTGCAGTAAATACTAGCTGAACTGTATTGTAAGATGCACAGAAATGGGATATCGTGTTGGATCCCTTCTCATCGCATGCTTGCCCTTACCTCCCTGGCTTTGAATGTGTGCTTCGGTGTAAGTTGTGGGCAAAGGCAAGATCCTCCCTTAGTCCTTAAGCTGTAAGGAGGAGGAAGCCTTCCTTGTATCTCGAGCAGTAATTTCCAGGAACGCCTCCTGTCTGAAGGGTGTCTGCCTTGGCATGAGCGACCCAAGTCCTCTGCGAGCTCACGGTCCGAGCCTCTGCTGTGTTTTAGTGCCACGTGGCAGAACGCCTGCCACAGCTGCTCCCTTGAAGAGCAATGAACGTGTCCTCTGGTGTGTGTGTAAAAAAAAACATTCCTGCATAGGTTCACGCAATTGCCGTACGAGAGGGACTTAGCCGGGGCCCTGTGCTGCCTGGGGAATTACTGACCCTCCTTTTTCCTCTGATGAAATCCTGCTAAGGAGGGAGGGAGCTGGGTTGGCACTGAGAAAAGACCCAAGTGAAAGGGCTGAGGCATGAGCCGGCCGCTGGTGCCATCTAGCTGCTACTCTTGGCATAGGTGCTCGGCAGGAGGCTGAAAGATGATGGAACTAATGAGGCTTCATTAAATAAAACCTTATCAAGTAAATAATGTGACACATGCAACAAGTTTCTTTAACCTATCACAAAGCAAATACACTGTTTATTTTAGGAGTAAGGTTCTTAGTGCTGTATCTTTTGAGAGGATAATTGCGCTCTTGTTTCAAAGTAGTGCTTGGGCAGCTCCTGTTGTATCTGATTGTGCAAAGCATGGGTCACAGGGTCCAGTTATTTAACTCTCAGTGCAGTTGAGCTGACTTTGTATAGGTTGGCTCCTACTGTCTTTAGAAGTGATGCATCTTACAGGCAAAGGCAGAGGTAATTGCAATACACTACTACAACAACTCTCAGTGCAATGAATGAGTTAATGCTGAATTGCCAAGTTGCTTTTTCAGTTTGATTGGGAAAGCTTTTGCTGCTTCTTCCCCCCTTGGGTAGTTTGCTAGCAAGGCGTTTCTCAAAAGCTGGTCCCGGTTTAAGCAGTTGCTCTAGAGTTGGATCTCAAGGAAACTTGGCTCCTGCAAGATTTGCCTGATGTTTCTTTGGGTAGGGAAGCACTTAGGCTGACAGAGTGATCTTAGTTATAAAGTGGTGGATGGGATTTCCTCACTACTGAGACTAAACTGTGCCTTAGTAGGTCAGACCTTGCTCTTAATACTGTGGCATTCTTCACCTCAATTCAAGAGGGGAGTCATGCAGAGAGTCATTTAGGTGTCTTTTGTTCAAAGATCAAGCCAATAGATTATTGCACACTAAATTTCCATCCTGACTTGCATTCAAGACCCTCAAATCCCACTTGAATGTTTATTTTACCCCTTCAATCCTATCACCTAATTCCCAAGCAACTTACCCTGTCAGCTGAGAACTCCCAAAGCCATGTTCTTCATAGCTTGCAGAGGACCGAACTGGTGAATAGGGGACTTGGTGTGCGAGGAGAGGCAGATCTCACCTGTGTGAAATCCAGAGGAAAATTGGCAAGAGAAAAAAGAGCAGATAGCAGAGCAGCCTGTTTTATAAGCAGAGAACTCCATTTGCAAGAGCAGAGAGAGCCCAGTTCCCTCTTACGTCTGGCAGCGAGTCCCAGCCTGGCCAGTACGGAAGGGATTGACTGGGATTCTATAGCAGGCAATAGATCAACAGCAGATGAAGAGCTCCTGAGAGAGGAGAGGGAGAGAGGCTTGCAGCAAAGCCCTCCCAGCTTGCTCAAGTATCGGAGGTGAGTGCTGGCTCTTTGTGAACGGCAGGCTGCAAAGAGAGAAAAGTGGGGTGGGAGGCAAGAAAAAACAGATGCCAAGCTGTTGGCAGGAGACTTGGAAAGGAGTGAGAGCTTCAAGTGCTTTTCCTTGGGCCGGGTTGTCTAGCTGGGTGCGAGAGCTGGAAGGATTGCAGCTGGTGCTTCTGAGACGTCAGCGGAGCAATGAAAGGAGGTTTGGGATGTTGATGGGGACTTAGCAGCAAAATCTCTCAAGGGACTGGAACAAAGGGGAACCCATGGATGATTTTTACACTTCCGGAGAAGGAGATAAACAGGATGTGATCAATGACACCAGCAGTAGGAAGAGCTGGGCAGAGGAAGGCAGCTCCAAGTTGTCGTTCCGTGTGGTGACAGCTGCTTTACTTTTCCTTCTCATCCTCTCCACGCTCCTGGGCAACACTCTTGTGTGTGTGGCTGTGGTCAAGTTCAGACACTTGCGCTCTAAGGTCACCAATTTCTTTGTTATCTCCTTGGCAGTGTCTGACCTCTTTGTGGCTGTACTGGTGATGCCTTGGAAGGCTGTCACTGAGGTGGCGGGATTCTGGCCCTTTGGGGCTTTCTGTGATGTCTGGGTTGCTTTTGATATCATGTGCTCCACAGCCTCCATCCTCAATTTGTGCATCATCAGTGTGGACCGTTACTGGGCCATCTCCAACCCCTTCCGTTATGAGAGGAAGATGACGCAGCGGGTGGCCTCTATCATGATTGGAGTGGCTTGGCTACTGTCCCTCTTGATTTCCTTCATCCCTGTGCAACTGAAGTGGCACAAGGACCACGAGCTCCTTAGCCAGCAGGAGCCAAGTTTTAAAGTCACCTGGGAGGAGAACTGTGATTCTAACCTCAACAGAACTTATGCCATCTCATCCTCTCTCATCAGCTTTTACATTCCTGTTGCCATCATGATTGTGACATACACCCGCATCTTCCGCATAGCCAGGCAGCAGATCCGTAGGATCTCTTCCCTGGAGAGGGCAGTGGAACATGCCCAAAACTGCCACAACAGTGACCGCCTTCATGAAGCCTCCCTGAAGAACTCCTTCAAGAAGGAGACCAAGGTCCTCAAGACTCTCTCCATCATCATGGGTGTCTTTGTGTTCTGTTGGCTGCCCTTTTTCGTGCTCAATTGCATTGTGCCCTTTTGTGACCTTGACCTACATGAGCCAGGGGAGGTGCCTTGTGTCAGTGAGACTGTCTTCAACACCTTTGTCTGGTTCGGGTGGGCCAACTCTTCCCTCAATCCTATCATCTATGCCTTCAACGCAGACTTCCGGAAAGCCTTTGCAACCATCTTGGGCTGTGGCTGCCCTTGCCCCAGCAATGCAGTGGAGACAGTGACCTTCAGCAATGAGCTGGTGTCCTACCACCATGATACCACGTGTCAGAAAGAAGTGGTGACCCTTAGCTACTCCCAACTTCTCCCACATGCTGCTCTACAGCTGGAAAACAACGAGGTGTCCTTTGACAAGGTTTCTCAGGTCTCTGAGCCCGCTCGCGTCAACCGCCCCGTGGATGTCTTGCCTGCTGTAGTGCATGTGGAGCGAGAGATGGCTATCTCATTGGAGAAGATTGCACCTTTCACCGCTAATGTGCTGGACTGAGACAGGGTTGGGAGCAGGGTGGTGGGATGGTCTTGGGGAGAGATGGAAATAGGGACACTACTGCAGTTGCCTGTTTTCTGAGGAACTGGAGAATACCATGGATATTGTCCTCTCTGCTGGGCAGGAATTGCGTTAATAATTGTGAAATAGCCAGAGTGACTTTCCAGATGACTGAAGGGGTTTTGTGTTTTGTTTGTTTTGTTTTTTGTTTTTTAACTTATAGTTTCAGATCCAGACCAGGTGGGCAGTAAAAGTCTGTGTTGCTGCTTTCTTGGGTGACCTGTGGAAAAACCCTTACTGCAAAAGATGAAAATCCAGAGCTTGAATCCCGCTTTCCTTGTGACTTCAGCTGAGAAAGCAAAGATTTGTGTGGTCTGCTAAGCCTCTCCCTCTTGGTCCATGAAATAGAAACACAGCAGTGCTTGTGGGGGAAGAGGCTGGTTTTACCACTGTCTATGTCCAAAAGACCATCAGCCCATGGCTCCAAACTGGCACAAACCAAATGCAGCTGCTTACTTGGGTGATAACTGCCGCTGGCAGAAGTAGTAATGCTGCCTTGTGCTGGGTGGGACAGCACCTTTAACTAGGGAGAACCACTTTCCTGGTGGACTGTGCAGAAAGGAGGTAACTTTGGTCCAGACTTTTGCAGCTTGCATTCATGTTTGAGCAGAATAACAAGCAGCAGGGGACTTGAGTCAGGATTTGGGGTCTGCTCCTGGCTTTCGGAAGGATGTCATGTTGAGGGGGTGACTCAAAAATCCCCCGTTGGGGCCTGCCTGTCAGGGACTCAAGGCGCTAAGGCGGAACGAACGACCTTGCTAGGATACTCTCCTGCATTCGTCTGGGAGGTGATTAGCCTCACCTCTGACTCTCTCTCTGTTGTTCAGGCAAATTATCCTGCAGGTTGAGACAAGTTCGCAGCCACCCTTGCTGGAGCCCTGAGGCTGGGCTTGGTAGCAGCTTGTTGGAGCATGCTGCAGGGTGCTCACTCATTAGCCGAGGATTCGGTACGCTAAAGGTCTGCGCTAGCCCCTGGAGCAGAGCCGGGCTTCCTAAGCCGGGATATGCACAGCTGAGTGCAGACCAGGATGTACGTAAACTTTGTTTCAGCCCCAGGACGCTGGAGCCTTAGTTAGCTTGGAGCCTTCGGGAGTGAGGGTCTGAGCCCTTCAGAAAAGCAGAATTCCAGATTTTAAAGCAAGAAGGCTGCTGTTTTGCTTTCAGTGCCTCTGCCGCATCTCCCATCAGTCATGTCCCCCTCCCTTTCATAGTCTGTTTCTTCCCCCTTTCACTTTGTTCTCTCTCTAATTGCCTTCCTCCCCCATTTCATTAAGGATCCTTCCACACTGTCTCCCTTGCTGTCTCATTTCAATAATAATGGCTTCTTAAGAAGCACTCTTTGCTCACCTGTACTCTTTAATTACCCTCTCCTGTGCACGTTGGAACTTGTGTCTGGTTAGCCCTTGTGTCAGGGTAGAAACGGCAAGCGAACAGCCCCCAGCATTTCACTGCCGACTGCGACACGAGTGACTTCAGAACTGTGTTTTGATCGGTGCGTGGTTAAACACTGCAGCAGCAAGCAGCACGTCCGTGTCATCTTGAATTTGAGACATCTTTAGCTCCCTGGCACAGCAGAGGAGCCTCTCCCCCTCCCCAGCAAACTTGAACAAAAAGAAAAATCAGAAAGTCATAATTACAGAGTAATGGTAATTATTAAATAGAGCCCAATTATAGTCAAGTTACAGCATAATCAGCGTGGGAGGGGAGCAGAGCTCACCATATTCCCAAGGTCGATGCCTGGATTTTTCTGTAGAAGCACTGATAGGACTCAGCATCATTTCTAACCATCTCTTTGCACAGCAGTGGTGGCTAGTCGTTAAAGCAGGGACAGGTTCTTGAGGTTTTTCAGCTCTGGGAGGACAGTGCAGCCAAACTGGTGGAGAAGGAATTATTGCTCTGAGATGGGGACTGTCATCTAGCATGTTTGTAGGAGGCCTGCTGTGACTGATTTCATTTGAATGTTATTGCAATATATATATATATATATATGTGATGATTTTCTCCACTAAAAGCATAGTGTGTTGTAGCATATGTGGTATAGTTGTGCTTTACTTCAGGACTCCTGGTTTTGGTGGCTAGAGGGAGTGGGGATACCTAGCTTTTTCTCAAAACAGTATTGTCTTGGTTTCCCTGTTTTTGAAGGGTTTAATAACACTCACCTTGCAGCAAGGTTCTGGGGCTTAATCCATGACTGTTTGTAAGGAGATCAGAGAAAAGCAAGTAGCTCCACTTATTACTGTTATCTAAGATGAGCTGGGTGAACCTACAAAAGAAAGACGAGGGAGAAGGTAATGTGATCCTTTGACAGAGGTGGGCTTTTTTGTCCGGTTACTGTCTGCATTTAACTTGTTTGTAGTGTGCTGGAGTTAGGGAACAGGGCAAGAGATTGTTTATTGCTCTCCACCTCACAGCCCCCTGCTCCAAAGGACTGGGGCTGTCTTCTACCAGCTGGGCAGTGCACCAGCTACGTGCACCTGCGGTCTGGCCAGTCACGTGGATGGCCGGTTTCTTCCTGGCATCTGCCTCAAAAGAAGAGGAGGTGTCAGAGAGCTAAACCAGAAGGCTCCAGTGTATGGAACTGGCCTCCCTGTGTTAGAGGCATTTCTGTGGCCAGTCTGGGAAACAGACAACAGCTCCAAAAATGTGTATAACTGTGCGTTAAACTGTGTGGACCACGCCTCGCGTCATCTTCTGGCCTGGAACGCAGAGCTCTCGGGTAAGGTGTGAGGCCGACGGCCTGTTTGTTGACATCCCCGAGAGCCCTAGGAAGAATCCAGCCCTGCTTTGTTTTGCACCAATTGCTTTCTGCTTCTCTAAATTTCCTCTGCAGTTTCACTGGGATCCGTGCTCCTCCTTCCATCCTGAAGTCTTACAGAATATTGTTACAGCCCTGGCTGTATTTCAGAGGTGAATGAAATGAGTTCCCACCTGAGGTTGGTCCTGTGTTTGGTTGCCAGTTCTGCTGCTCTCCTGCCCTGTAATACTGGTAAGTCACTTAGGTTTCCGGGGCTCTGGTTTTGCCATGTGTGTAACGAGGGCCGCAGCGTTGGCTCGTCCTGCAGATGCATTGTGAAGACAGGGCTTTTCTCAGGCTTTCAGGGTGAACGTGGCTGTCATTGCCGAACGGTCTAGGTTGGAGTAAAAGGAGTAAATAAATGCTCAAATCCAATTCAGTGAGAGCTGATTTGCAGCCTAAGGAAACAAACTGGCGTCCTGCATGCTCTGAGTGTCCCTCTTTGCTGCTGCAGCAGCTGCTGTGGAGGTACTGTGGCCCCGACGTTATCTCATTAAGTGCCTAAAAAGCTGGTTATGTGAAGAGACACCGTTAACCAGGGAGAGGTATCCAGGTCCTATCAGGCAAAATTCGAGTGTCCGAAGCCACTCGCTTAAGCCTAGGCGCATTGGGACTAGGGGAGAAGGAGCGTTAAAATCTCAATTTAAATGGAAATTGGAGGCTGTTCTTGAGAGAGAAGGGACAGCAGCTGGCAGCCTTTTTTGAGAGCTCATGGGGCAGGGCTGACGGGATTCATGCTGTGACTTGGAGGTGAATGGTCTGGGCTGCCTGGGACTCACCTCGCAACCTGAGGAAGTTTGTGTTTGGAGAGGGACATCTCTGCTCTGACCTAAAGCCAGAGGTGGTGTAAGGGAGGCTCTCCTGTCTCCCATGCTGATGGGAGGCATATATGGCACCCCAAAGGGGGAAGGAGCCTGAGGTGACATCCACAGCTGTGCAGGAGCTTGCTGCCAGTGCTGTAGTGGCTTGGAGACAGAGGATGGTGGCACTGTATGCCCTGACTCTGGTTTTGGAAGCCCGTGCTGCTGGCCCTGAGGTCAGGGCTAGTAATCTTTGGCTGGCCCTAAAGGAAAAGTGGAGCAGGGCTTTCACCTCCCAAACCTAGACTGGAAACTGTGCTGCCCCTCACTCACTCATGTAGGTTAGAAAGGATGCTGGGCGGCTGGGAACAGGGTGCTGGCTTATTCTATGCAAGCACTAAGTCACTGCACACTTTATTATGCAAATCTGGGGCAGACTGTGGGGATTAACAGTGTGCAGGTGGTGGCTGCCGTTGCTGCAGCAAATGGTTGCAGATGTCATGCCTACCTCTACTTTCCCAGCTGGGTTGCAGGAGGACCTCGTCAGGGCAGATAGTGTAGAGGACAGGGGGTGGCTCTTGCCCTTGAAGAAGGTGGGGGTTTGGTTTGGTTTTTGGGAGAGGGAATGGATTTAGCAGAGAAGGGGCAGATAGAGGATAACATTGGAGGAAGAACAGGATGGGGCTGAGGAGATAGAGGATAACATTGGAGGAAGAACAGGATGGGGCTGAGGTAGGTTGCTATCTTGCCTGACATTGCTTCCAAATTGGAAACGTCAGCTGCTCCTCTCATCAGACAGAGGCCAGGGTCCTTCTCTGAGGGAAGCAGAGACTCCAGACAAGGGGCATGACTGGATGAGGGTCTCTGGGTGCTTGAAGGAGCCTGGCGGAAGCTCTTGTGAAATCACAGGCCTGGCTTGCTCAATCTATATGGTAATTTAGAGCAATCAGTCAGCTAAGGGGGAAAGGCAGCAGAAATTAACCCTGCCAGCCCCGAGCAAAATAAAGTAGAAACCAAGAATCTATGCCTGGGACAAGGAAGAGAGGGTTGTGGGCTGGGTAAAGGTAGCATCTGGGGACCTGAAGAGGTGTATGGCTGGGATAGGGCAACACTTCTTGCTGTGAACCTTGTCCCTGAGCAACCGCTGTGCTTCCCTGCCCTGTATGGGGCAGCAGCTGAATGCTGGAAGACTGGCAGGAAGCAAAGGGGAAAGCCACAGCGAGCATGGGAAGTCTCAGCCCAAGAAAAACAGCGTGTTGGCTTCTAGTGCAGAGCTAGTGAGCACCTGCAGCACGGAGCAACCGGGGGGGTGACAAATGCACTTCCCAGCTGGAGAGCTGCTGAAGGCTCAGCCTCAGGGGGTGGGATGTGGGGAGGTTAATCCTCGCGTGGGCAGTCCCAAGGAAGGGATACCGTGGGAAGGCTGAGGCAGGCGGTGCGGAAGGCAAAGGTGGAGCTGTGCCTTGGCTGTTTGAAATATAGGTACGTCAGGGCAGATCCCCCTCGAGCTGAGGATGGTTTTGTAAAAGCGAGGCCAGACTCTCTCCCTGCGCCAGCATGAGGATGGCTCTGATTTATGAACTGTACTGCCTTAGCCTTGTCTCTGGATCGGGCAACGTGTGGAGCATGCAATGGAGCCCTGATGTGGTTCTTTGCTGCTACTGCAAGAGAAATAATGAAGGTCTTTAGTTACCTTTGAGCATATCGCTAACGGACTGCGTGGTCGGTTTTCATTGACTTTGCTCCTGTGCTGAGCAGCAGCGGCTTCTCGGCTGGGAGCAGCTCAGAGCTGGGTAGCGACCATCTCTGCTGGTGCTGAGAAGCAGTGAGGGTGCTTTCACGGAGCTGGGAGATGGGTTGCACAAGGTTTAACCTGTCTCAGTCCCTGGGAAAGGGGAAAGCAAGTCAATGTGATGCTGCCCTCACCCTCGCAGCCGCCCTTGAAGAGCGTTGTTTCTCTTCTGTGCAATGTTTTAAACTTGCGAGACCCTTATTTACTCTTCCAGAGACTGTCACCTCGGGCAAACTGTTCCTGCTCAAATGTTCATATGCCCTCTAGGACCTATGCATTAATTTATTGTAGAAGGAGGGAATTTGGAGCAAGGAGAATGCTTCAGAAACAGCCCCCCCCGGGGGGGCGGGGCCTG